AGTCACGTATCAGCCCGAACAATACCTTCCTTTTTACATCGTGATAATAACAATTTAGGATTTGTAAAGCGCACAATTTGTGCTCACTCTCGGAGAGAGCGAGAGACAGAAAGATTGATTCTAAGACGTGGAAAACCCACAGACAAGCGGGAAGGCAGCCAGTGCCGACCCCAAACAGGCGTCCAAGCTCTGTGATCCTGCATCAGGACGTTTGGTCAACACCACCCACGAAGTGTTTGTCCATGAGGGAGAGACCGGAGCATCCCAAAAGAAACCCCCCACAGGTGCGAGAGGGGCTGGACACTCAATTCCCGTAGAGATGGGAATGAACCTGCTTGCCGCGCCGCCACCACTCCCCGGGCGAGACCCGGGTGAGAGACGGCAAACCCTGGCAGCCCACGGGACAGGCAGCGTTCTCCGCGAGCGTGTGCCGTCTGCCTTCACGGCGCGAGAGCGACCAATACGGCGGCGAACGGCTGCAGAGGGGATTAATCGATGAAAACCATCGACTTGATACCATCCTGCACATGGACATTAGCCCCCGAATCCTGCCATGCAAAAAAGCCATCGCTGACGGGTTGATAGTTCATCATGTTTCCATCCGAAGGTGACATGAACTCGGTTTATGGTTTTTTTTTTTACCAGCCAAAAGCAGAAGGTCTCACACGAAAGAGTAATAAACAAAGAGGACAAATCATGGACGTTTGTCAATGCTGCAATGCTTCCCAACACACCTTTGTCCTCGATAAGGATGTCATAAGAGATAACAACGTGGATGATGTCGCAAGGTTGCTTCGCACGCGCGCTCACACGCGCGCTCACATGCTCACGCCATTACTCCATCACTCCATCGAGAGCAGGAGCCGGCGCTGGGCGCACGACATCTATACGACACGCATATGGCGCATGACATGACGACACTGGCCGAGGAGGCATACCGAGCGTCGGTAGATATTTATCACCAAGCACTGGGCAACCGTTTGATCATTTGCCTCCGTTTTCTCTGGGGCGAGTCCCTAATAGCAACACCACTTTAGACCAACATTTTATTTACATCGGATCACCTGTACTCGAGTTACAGTGTCCTCACATCACGGACGGAGTGACGCACCCACAAACCAGACGGGCAGAGCTGATGCATAATCGCTTTTTAAAAATACTCAGCCGGCACGCGTTAAAACGCAGAGCAGGAAAGTAGGGTTCAGTCAGAGCGAATGAATCCGGCAATACACAGGGCGCATGGCAGCCCAAAGCAAGAGAGCGCATCTTACAATTCAGTTCGGAGCAAAAGAAAAGTTACAAAGCGTTGTTCAATTTGGATAGGCCTCCTACCGAGCAAAAGCTGTTCTCTTTCAGGTTTATTTTCAGTAACTTTGTGAGCAAACAGATTTCAGCGGCGGTGTTGCAGACGAGCGTATTTTGTAACCAGAGCATCAAACGCACAGCCACTCATGGAACTCATAAAATGCACAATTACACAGACATAACAGCGGTCATCAATTCCACCAGCCCAAACTCACCAGTGCCACAGGCTCGATTATGACGGTACGTTGAATTATGTGAAAATCAATGGCTCTAAATTAGTTTTTTTTCAGAAGATTAGATCCGACGGACGTGTCCGCTGTTTTACGGAGCATATTGAGCACAATATGTGAATGCAGGATAAGTCAACAAAATGTGTTAAGATTTCTAAAATACGCTCGCTCTGCAGAGCGCCCATGTGCTTTTGTTAATGCGACAAAATCCACATGCCAGCGCTTCAACAGTTCAAAGATCAACTTTTGCAAAGTATGTAACTTGCAATTTAACACGGAGGCTTTTGCGACCAGTAGATCTTGTGGGTTCGCTCTCCAACACACCGGTGTGCTGAACGAGTAATGAATTACTCATTGGTTTTTTCGGTAAAGTCACGTATGTAGAAATACAATAAAATTATATTAAATTAAAATAAATCACGACGTTTCGACCGCAACACAAGCGATCATCATCAGGTGTAAAAAACAAATAGCGAGGGAGCACATAGGGTGACATCAACGCAACACATAGAGAGCGTTAAACTGCACGGAGGTAAATACAACAAGAAGATGAGAGACGGGAATTCAACAAACCTAAGAAAAAATTACGTGATGCAAAACCAGTCGGCCAACAACACAGTTAGACACTTGCCTGGCGGACCACGAATTTCAGAAGACTGCTAAATTTCGTGTTCATCTTCTGGGTTGAACACACCAGCATAGACAGAGTGAACAAATACGAGGTACAAGGTGGCAGAAATACATATACAGTGAGGGAAAAAAGTATTTGATCCCCTGCTGATTCTGTACGTTTGCCCACTTATTTCCCTCATTAAAATGCAAATCAACTTATAACATTTTTGACATGCGTTTTTCTGGCTTTTGTTGTTGTTATTCTGTCTCTCACTGTTCAAATAAACCTACCATTAAAATAATAGACTGATCATTTCTTTGTCAGTGGGCAAACGTACAAAATCAGCAGGGGATCAATTACTTTTTTCCCCTCACTGTACAGGGACACCAAGAGGCAAGAAGAGCAAAGACGGACAGAGAAGCAAGAAAATGGGCCGGAGGGATGAACAGACAGAGGCTTAAATAAGCAGCAGAGGTGGGGGGAGGGGCCGAGGACAGCAAGGTGCGCAAGCGCGCGGGCGGAAACAGACGGAAGCATAGAGACAAACAACGGTAAACAAAAAACTAAAAACGAAGCACATTGAAGCACTTCGAAGAACAGACAGAGGATGAACACGAAATTTAGCAGTCTTCTGAAATTCGTGGTCCCCCAGGCAAGTGTCTAACTGTGTTGTTGGCCGACTGGTTTTGCATCACGTAATTTTTTCTTAGGTTTGTTGAATTCTCGTCTCTCATCTTCTTGTTGTATTTACCTCCGTGCAGTTTAACGTTCTCTATGTGTTGTGTTGATGTCACCCTATGTGCTCCCTCGCTATTTGTTTTTTACACCTGATGATGATCGCTTGTGTTGCGGTCGAAACGTCGTGATTTATTTTAATTTAATATAATTTTATTGTATTTCTACATACGTGACTTTACCGAGAAAACCAATGAGTAATTTATGCAGTCACGAAAGCTTAAATTCTATATTAGTAATGAATTGTCATGTTTTGGTTACGTGACAAACCTTACTAATTGGCTGTGTCGGGTGGTGTTGGGTTTAACGACACATTTATATTTCTTCAATCTAACCCCAAAAGCCCCACTATTATTTATATGTCACTTTCCTTCCCAAAATCCTCCACAATGGGCCAAGAGACCATAAAGATGACCTCACGAATGGCATAGCGGCACTCACGTCATTATTATCTCACAATAGTGGTGGTGGGGCACAGTGGAAGTCTCTGCAACTTTAATTATCCATTGAGGCGAAGGCGGCTTATAAGTCTCACACTGCACTCAATAGCGCTACGAACCTAAGCGAGAGATTGTGGGTAGGGGGTGGGATAATTCAGGTGGCAGCGGTGGGGCCTGACGCCCACCTCAAGGGGCGTACTCTGCACACGTTCAGCGACCCGGCGGGAATTTCTGCTGTGGACAGTCGAATTGACAAACTCAACTTCAAATCTTGACTTAAAGCTTTCGTGACTGCAGGAATTCATATTCTTTGGGTCTTTCGGTAAAGTCACGGAGATAGAAAAATAATAAAATGATAAAAAAATCATGAGTTTTGATCGCAACACAAGCAATCGTCTTCAGGTGAAAAATACAGCAGGCTGACTGCTGAGGCAGGAAGAAATATAGCGAGAGAGCTACTGCAGCCAAAGGTTATACAGTGAGAGAAAAAAGTATTTGATCACCTGCTGATTTTGTACGTTTGCCCACTGACAAAGAAATGATCAGTCTATAATTTTAATGGTAGGTTTATTTGAATAGTGAGAGACAGAATAACAATAAAAAATCCAGAAAAACGCATGTCATTTACATCGCTTTGTCTGCCGAGCGCCACAACTGATGTACGAGTGCTTTGATATACGAGTGCTTTGGATTACAAACACGTTTCCGGAACGAATTAGGCTCGCAATCCAAGGTTTTACTGTACATGTTTGAAGTGGGCGTGGCTAGAGATGATATTGTGGTTAATGCAGACATAATTAGCCGAGGTATTCCTAGCTCTGCGATCTTACATTTACCCACTTCAAACCTATATAACCTTTGGCTGCAGTAGCTCTCTCGCTATATTTCTTCCTGCCTAAGCAGTCCGCCTGCTGTATTTTGTCACCTGAAGACGATTGCTTGTGTTGCAATCAAAACGTCGTGATTTTTTATCATTCTATTATTTTTCTATGTACGTGACTTACCGAAAGACCCAAAGAATATAAACTATACTATTTTTAAACTATTTTTATTTTACCAGGTAAGGCTCACTGAGCTATATAGCTCTCTTTCAGAAGAGACCTGGCCACAGATGATAGCTCAACGAAGTGGCTCATCACGTGCAAATTTGCAGCAGCTAAATATTATGAACGCATGTTGATTCTAAATGTGAAGGGAAAAATTGGAGGACCTGGAGAAAAATCCACGTGACCAGGGGGAGAGAGACAACACACAAACTCCAAATACAGACATCACGGTCGGGATGGAACCCACGGCCCCCTGCATACCAGGCGAGGTAGTTAACATCTCACCACCGCAGCACCCCATAGAAAACATGGGAGAGTAGTGGCGCAGTCGCTAGCGTACTGTGCTAGGAACCCAGCGACCAGAGTTCCATTCCTAGTTGTAACATCAGCGACGAGTGATATGTATATATTTGGAAGCATTTCTATTGTTGCTAATAAACTTGTTAAAATCCCAGATTCATTTTTGCCAATGAGCAGCTAAATCGACAAAAAGAAATGTGATCACCATAATAAGATACGAAATGAGGGACGGACGCAACATCAACCCACACTTCCATTTGCTTGCTTTAAAAAAAAAACATCCGACCGTGCAAGCCGTGAAAAAAACCACGGACATGCACACTCAACTCACCTTCAGTGTGAAGAGGCTTTACGGTTTTCGGCAAAGACGATCCACATCTGCCCTGGATGCTTGTCCAGACGGCCGCTCCTCCTGCTCCTCCTCCAGCTGCCGCTACCGCTGCTGCTGCTCACAACGCAGACAGGAAGAGGCGCCGCATGTTGACGTTGTGCGTAGTGCGTGTTGAAGAGACCCGAGCGACTGAGCACCCTGTGCTTAAAGGTTCAAGACTTTAAAGAGCATTCCCCCACGTATTTTCGGCACTACCTGCTTTCATGACGAGCGTCGGGAGGATGGCAGCTGCCTGGCGCCGCGAAACAACATTTGTCATCGGCCAGCGAGGGTCCTCCATCAGCTGTGACCTCGCGGCTGGCGAAGAGGGAGAGAGCGAGCGAGGCGCTGTCCCCCACAAGTCCCACGGTCACTTCCAAAATAAATGATTTCCCTTTCTCCCCACGGGTCGGCCGAGCGGCAGCAGCAGCGTCTACTCCGATCGCACGAATCCGAATGCTGCTGATGCAAACCCCCAATGCCGAAGCCGGCGCACAGGTTGATTCTGTCCGGGTGAACCGAAGCTGTCGATGTTGTTCTGTGCGGCACAATGGGATGTGTAAAAATAGACTTCTTGTATTTTATTGAGGGGGAGATGTGGAGGGGGCGTATTGTCGGCACGCTTATCGTGTTACCCGCGTTGTCGGCAACGACGGCGAGCGATTATTTTGTGTTACAATCACGCCCTTGCCCTCTTGGACTACGTACCGCCAATGGAGCACTCGGAATCGCGCGTGACCACGATAGAAAGTTGTCAACACTTAACGTGAACAATGCCCGTCTATTTTGACATTGGCCAGGGGCACCATCTCGGTGTCATTTCCAGAAATCCCTGGCAGCCTCAAACCTCCACAAAACCATAGCGGTGGCCCCCGTGAACTGCTAATGGCAGCTAAAAGGTGCGGCGGCGTACACACGCGCGCATTTTCGAGCAGACGAAATGGAAACATTTGAGCAATTTAATTTCGAGAGTGGGGCGAACAAAGGATTTGAAAAGATGAAAAAAAAATATCACAAACTGGATATAATCAACACATGTTATTTTTACATTTCTGCCGATTATTATTGTATTTAAATTCATAGCACACGGTGAGCCCTTGTTACCACAACAGCACATACGCTGGGGACGTCTGAAAACTACGCTCTCCGTACAAGAAGGCCTCCTGGATAAAATGAGCAAAGAATTACGTTAAAGTGAAATATAATTCGTGATTTGTTTGTCCCTGATGCCAACTCCACCATTCCGACTGTGGGGTACATGCCAGCAAGTCGGTACTTGTCAAACAGAAAGCGCAATGTCTGCGAAATATCACGTGTTCAATCACGTGTTCAATCACGTGTTCAATCACCACACTCGGCTCACATCACAACCACTCGCCACACTGAAGGTCAGAACACAACCACTCCCTCACCCACTCACCACACTGCTGCTCACAACACAACCACTCACTCGCTCACCCACTCACCACACTGCTGTTCACAACACAACCACTAATCCACTCATCCACTCACCACACTGCAGGTCACAACAGACTCACCCACTCACCACACTGCCGGTCACAACAGACTCACCCACTCACCACACTGAAGATCACAACGCAACCACTCACCCACTCACTCACCACACTGCAGATCACAACACAACACACTCACCCACTAACGACACAACCACTCACCTACCTACTCACTCAATCACCCACTCACCCACCACACTGCAGGTCACAACACAACCACTCACCCACTCACCACACTGCAGGTCACAACACACTCACCCACTCACTCACCACACTGCAGGTCACAACACACTCACCACACTGCAAGTTACAACACACTCACCCACTCACTCACCACACTGCAGGTCACAACACACTCACCCACTCACTCACCACGCTGCAGGTCACAACACACTCACCCACTCACTCACCACACTGCAAGTTACAACACACTCACCCACTCACTGACCACCCTGCAGGTCACAACACACTCACCCACTCACTCACCACACTGCAAGTGATAACACACTCACCCACTCACCACACTGCAAGTGACAACACACTCACCCACTCACCACACTGCAAGTGACAACACACTCACCCACTCACTCACCACGCTGCAAGTCACAACACACTCACCGACTCACTCACCACACTGCAAGTCACAACACACTCACCCAGTCACTCACCACGCTGCTTCTTAGATCACGCTGCTCCACATTGGAATTCCCTTGCTCCCATCGTCGTTTGTCCACCAGGGCTCTTATACAATTATAATAACCTTGCTCATGCCAAGAAACATGTTACACTCGTACCTATTACACCTTCAACGGTGCCGTCTGTTGCAGGCCGCATGACATTTTTGGGCCACTGGGGCCTGGGTTCGGCAACTTTGTTACAACAGTAACACAGCGCCTTGATTACGAAGTGGCAGCATAAATGCTCTCACCATCAACACATTATTCCAATTGCCCACAATTACCGTGGATAAGTAGATGATAGCAATCCTGCTGCTGATAATGATCATCATCATGATCAGTGGCAGCAGCATCAGCAGCAGCATCACCAGCAGCATCATCAGCAGCATCATCAGCAACAGCATCATCATCATCCGCAGCATCATCATCACCAGCAGCAGCAGCATCAGCGTTTCTGTTTTTGCTTGCAATACTGCTACTGCTGCGGTACAATTAACATATTCAGGAAATTTCGATTTAAAGCTTTCGTGACTGCAGGGATTCATCTTCTTGGTTCTTTCGGTAAAGTCACGTAGAATGGAAACAAAGTAATACAAATAATAAAACATAATAAAATAAAATTCTCACGACGTTTCGGCCACAACACAAGTAGCCTTCTTCAGGTGAAGGAACAGAACTGTCGGGATGACAGCGCTTCAATGAACGCTGCTAATATTCGTAGCGTTTTTTAAGCTAGGTGAGAGAAGTGGAGCGCCTTGACAAAGGAGTTTACATATCAAACAGGAGAATTTAGCATTAAAATAGCTGAGGGATTATCTTGTGACTGGTCACAGAAATAGCTATGTTAAAGTCCAAGCTTACATATCAACAGAGGCATTTAGTATATGGAAGCTAAAGGGCTGCAACTACCAGTAAACCGATGTGAAAAAACTAAGTCTAAATTACATCAATATAATAAAAGTACTCAATATATTCTTCACTAAGCTGAGCTATTAACACAAAGCAACTGGGTATACACTACACTACATAATGAATACCATATAGTAAACTAATAAAAAACTAAAATATAAACTACCTCAATGTAAAATTTTGATTTAAAGCTTTCATGACTGCAGTAATTCATATTCTTAACTCTTTCGGTAAAGTCACGTTGAAGGGAAACAATAAAATAATAAAATATATAAAAACATTATTTTATTGCTTCCCTTCAACGTGACTTTACCGAAAGAGTTAAGAATACCTCAATGTTATCACCATTAACCGTGGTGTGAGAGGTATTAAGAGGCAGCTCTTTCGCTGGCATTGCCTCTTAATACCTCTCACACCACGGTAAATGGTATGGTTTATAACATGGAGTATAACAGCGCATTGTGGCTGTTTCTCTCCCCCCTCCTCTGTTCCGAGCATGGATGGACTCGTGCGTCTGAACGGGGCTCGTCGCTGTCCGTGGTGCTGGCGTTGAGGGGAGAAACCGCCACCCATTTTTTCGCCATATGGCATTGTGATATATAACGAATTATTGTTGGTGGCTCAGCTGATTGGAGAGTATATAGAGTTTATTGATAACATTGAGGTAGTTTATATTTTAGTTTTTTATTAGTTTACTATATGGTATTCATTATATAGTGTAGTGTATACCCACAGTTGCTTTGTGTTAATAGCTCAGCTTATTGAAGAATATATTGTGTACATTTATTATATTGATGTAATTTAGACTTAGTTTTTTTCACATCGGTTTACTGTATGATAGTTGGGTAGTTGCAGCCCTTTAGCGTCCATATACTAAATGCCTCTGTTGATATGTAAACTTTGACTTTAACATAGCTATTTCTGTGACCAGTCACAAGCTAATCCCTCAGCTATTTCAATGCTAAATTCTCCTGTTTGAAATGTAAACTCCTTTTTCAAGGCGCTCCACTTCTCTCACCTAGCTTAAAAGACGCTACGAATCTTAGCAGCGTTCATTGAAGCGCTGTCGTCCTGACAGTTCTGTTCCTTCACCTGAAGAAGGCTACTTGTGTTGTGGCCGAAACGTCGCGAGAATTTTATTTTATTATGTTTTATTATTTTTATGACTTTGTTTCCATTCTATGTGACTTTACCGAAAGAACCAAGAAGATGATATTCAGGAAATGTTTATGGAGCCTAGCGACGTGTTTTCAGGAGGGTCCTGCATTGGAATGTCTGGGATTTTTTTTTATTTCGTTTTTTACACGTGGGAGGAAGTTCCTGTAGCTGAAGAAAACCCACGCATGTGTCGGGAAAATGCTCAAAAAGTTCCACGCTGATGTTTCACAAACCCACGTGATAATATTTGCCCAGGTAAGGCCCACGGCGCTATGTATGTCTCTTTCAGGAGCGACCTGGCTGTCACACAAGTGATAGCTTCACAAAAGTGGTTAACATGTGGCAATATGCATAGCAGCCAAAGACTTCTAAATGTGGTGGGAAAAACCGGAGGACCCGGAGAAAAAGTGTACGCGGCGGCAGGGGGACAAACATGTAAACGCCAAACATACAGGCCTCAGGGTCGGGATGAAACCCACGACCTGCTATTATCAGGCAAGGGAGTTAACGTCTCTTAGCCACTGTGGCATACCCAAAAATGATAAAGACTTTTTTCATCTTAATACTGGCAAAAGGGTCCCATAGATATGATCATTATTATTCTTGGTTCTTTCGGTAAAGTCACGTAGAAGGGAAACAAGAATATGAATCCGTGCAGTCACGAAAGCTTTAAATCAAAATGATAATTATTATTATTTATCATTGCTCAATTGCACTAGAGTCAATCTCACTCAACTTGTCTTCGGTTCCCGTGTGCGCGGATGAGACGAGGGATAGAATTGGCAGCTGCAGGAAAAACATTTCCGGAGAGAGGATGGCCCACCGCAGAGAGATAAAGTGATGAGATCAGTTCATGTAAACAAAAATGTCGCTCTCTCTCTCCCCTTTGACTCACACCCGACAGACAGCCTGAGCCACGAGCAGGAAATGTCCGGTTCAGCGGGAGCGGCGCAATCCTGCTTGAGATACAACAGAGGTGGTGGTGGCGAGCATTCGACGCAGCGCACACGTACACAAACACACCCACGCACACTTAAATTCGTTTGCAGCGGACAAAACCGGTCCCACGTCCCCTCGGCGCGCCGTCGCGCGGAGGCTGGGCCCTCGGAGAGGACGGGGCTTCAAAGCTCTCACCTGGAACGACCTCTGGCCGAGGAAGCGCAGGTAAAGCCTGCACGTCCAGTGGCAAGTGAATGAAAGGCATACCAGGTAAATGGCTGTGGTCGGCTAGAGCCAAGCCCCACCCACCACCCGCCCACCCCTACTTGCAATCTCAATTAAGCTTTTAATGGATTCACTTTCATTCAAAAGAAACACGCGGTAAAACTAATACGGCACGTGAAGCCAAAGCGAGGTTTTGAAACACTGCACTCTCTCCACTTAGTTGCATTATTTGCATTCGTTATATGCTGACGATGATGATAATATCACCGTGAGGATTACTGCCATACAAATCCTACAAGGTGTATGTACATATGGTCCGGCTTATTTTTTAATTCGTAGCGAATTGACGGCTTCAACCAGGCCACAGATGACTGCAAACAATAAACCAGCATTAAGTTTGACTGATTCTGTATTTGGCAAAAATCGCAGAAATAAGTAAAACAATTAAACAAATATAAATCGAGCAAAATTAACCAACCAATAAGACCTTGCCGGGGATGTTGGACGTACAGTGATTCCGTCACCACCTCCCGTGGGGCTGAGATCTCTAACACACAGGGTGAAGCGATGGTCTCTGTGTGAGAGTTCCCAAAGGTGATTTCATCTCACAGTAAGACACCAACAATAACCGTTGGGAGTAAAACAAGGGAAGGAATGGAAGATGTAAAAAAACAACTGCTTTGACAAAATGTCCATTCCATTCTACTCATCCCCAGGACTGCTGCCACTCAAGTTCTCAACAACAAGCCTACAAAACACGCACCCCAAATCGAGCAGCTCTTTGCATGGAACACTCCCGAACTGCTATTTGTGTTCCAGTTTGTTGTCCTCTTCCCCCACATCGCCGATTAGTACGGTGGGCTACGTACGGCGCGAAAAAAAGTATAACGTACGTACACACAAAAGGGTCACCCCCCCCCCCCTCTCTCTTCTAATCGCTCTCCTCCAGCGGTCGCACAATCCGGTCCTCCCCCCCCACTC